CAGAGGCTCACTCCCAAGGCTCCGGCAATCTGTGTGCCAGCGGCTCCCAGTTGCCTGGCATTGCCAGAGGCTCACTCCCAAGGCTCCGCCAATCTGTGTCTCCACAGCTTTCAGGCGGGTGCACGCGTGCTAGTGCCAGGACATGAAAGCAGAGGTAGAGATGGCAGAGGTAGAGATGCCAATGCCAGGCCATGAAAGCAGAGGTAGAGATGCCAATGCCAATGTTGCACCCTGCGATGCCAATGCCACTGTTGCACCCTGCGGTGTCTCGGGCGCCTCCCCGCCTAGACTTTAGCTAGGCCGGGGTCGGCGGATTTTAGCGTTCCCGAGTCTAATTTCAGGAGACACTCGCGAGATGATCCCCCCTGCGTTGTTGTTTATGTGTGCTACATGTGATGCGCGGGGTCTCGTGGCGTGTCAGGCGCGTTGAATTGCACCCACTTGGGAGGTTGTGACTTGGCGTGTGATGTTCTTGGGTGGTGAACTTTTTTGAACAGATACTGTAGAGCAAGAGGAAGTGCTAGTCCATTCCGTTCTTCGCATCGAACAAGGTGACACGCCCGTGACCTATGTGCTGGCCTCAGAGAACTGTGGAATGGGTGGCAAAACCACGATGAGATCATTTCGGTGGAGTGTGAGGATCTCTATATATGCCTCCAACCTAAGAGCGATGGCCTCCTACCTAGAAGCGATGGCCTCCACCGTCCTTGAAAAAAACACATTTGTAATCATTTGTATATATATATATGTATATAATCAAAAAATCCTACAGCCCTACCTTGAGGAAGGTTCATGAGGTAACGCTCCAACAACATGTACGTAGAGGTTCTTGGGTTGAAACTCCCTTCCAGACACTCTGCAAGAACATCATAGAACATCTAAGCAACAGTTGAGTCAAATAGTGAACTCAGCTTGCAAGATCAAGTAGCGTGGGGTATATTTTGTCGTAAGCCGCTTCCCGCGCAGGGTACTGCTTTGGCTGGATCGGATCCTGTTCGAAACACCGCTCGTCGTTCCTGTGTTGGCATCGTTCGCATGGGCCCCTGCAATGTGGTCTGGGACTAATTACGAGCACGTGTGCTGCCAAGGAGGAGATGAAAAAGTTTGCTGCAACGGAGAAAAGACTGCGCTGGGTGGGTGAAGTGGGTGAAGTCGGCGAAGAAGGCGACAGCGGCAAGGGTTTGTCCAGCTTACGCACCCCAAGAGTGTGGATGAATAACATTTGTGAGAGCCAAGACAATTGTGGTGGACGGATTTTTAGTTTAGCCATGGGCTCCTTAGACTTATATAGAGGTTCTGTTTGGCTTCTTTTTGGTGTGTTGCTTTGGTAAGTTTGGTATGGATCCACCACTCTCACTGTTTGGATCTTCCTAAAGGAAAGCTGATCCCTCGGATGGCCGGAGATCTCAGGCTCAATGAGGCAGAGCTTTTTCAGGCCATTCACTTTGCCAGCTATCCAAGGCGCTAGGGAACAAGCACTTCATTCTACAAGTAGGAGGGAGTCTTGGATGCTGAACGAAACAACATCGTTTAACACCTTTTGGTCGATAGTTCTAATATGTAAATGGTTGAAGTCAGAACTGCACTGTCTCGCTTTTACAAGTCTGGGCTTCGTTAAGTGAGTGGTTTTGCTTAGGTTTCTGGGGTATTTATGTGCATTGAATGGTCAGTCGAAGAAATTTCACCTGTTGTATTTTGCTTCATTGCAGTTTGTAGAGAAGTTCATAATCTTCGCCGCTTAATTACTTATTGTGGAACCAGGCCATTTTTGGAGTAGATGCTGGGCACTCTTGGCCTTCTAAGAATTCCACATAGTGAAATCCCTAAGTCTCATCATGCATACACCTATGGAACTCGATGCTGACCAATTCAAGGAAAATTGCATATCTCGTCTAGTCATCAAGCTTGGACTTTGCTCATTTCAGCCCTGGTGCTTGGAGAAGTAATTTGATTGTGTTTCCGAGACAAAGCACAACAGGAGCCCCACTGGCAAATGCAACAATGATCCCGCAGCCTTGTGTGTTTTTGTTTTCAAAGTTCTCACCCCATACCTATATAAGTCTGAGCATGCCATCAGACTGGATGACCACTTGAACTCCTTTTACTTTTCTTTCCAAGGTTTGTTGGTTGGAATCTACAAGTTAGGATCCTGTGAGCGCCTGTAACGGATCCAGCAGTTGGCTTGCCAGGCGCATTACTGATGTGCAGATTGTCGTTTATGCGTCCGGGCGCACAGCAAGAGCCCAAACGGTCATTATGACATACAAAGACGATAAGACGAGCCTTCCGGTGGTTTGGTGAAGGGGAAGGCCTTCCGACAGCAACTGCTCGGTACGGTTTCGTCACCGCTGAGATGTGGGGGGATTCGACGATCCTCCCCGATCGGTCGCAGGAACAAGGAGCACAAGAACTTGGAGCTGCTCCGGCAACATGCGCCCTTTCCGGTGAAAATCCTCCGGCAGGCAGAATCCCCGATGCCTGTGGGCTAAGGGGGCAGAGGACTTGGAAGGGTTCCGAGCTTCCTGTGGTTACCATGGACATCCATGGACGTACTTCCATGGACATCCATAGTGTTTTGAGGTAGTGTTAGTGCACACTTTTGAGTTTTCAGGTTCTAAGTTAAAATATGTTGAAATAGGGAAGCAACTAAGCTTTGCTTGTAGCGAGTCCCACAGACTCAGATACCCGTTGCCGGGATTTGGGATGGTGGGGCACGACACAGGAGGGCGATTGGAAAGGCACCTTGGACAAGCTGATTGGATACTGGACATATCTCAAGGCTGGAAGTTGCAGCGAAGTTCTTCGCGGCCTGGAGTTGATTCTTTGGCTACATTAGTCAACTCAAAGATCCAATATCCAGCCCACCTGGCTGAGGAGAGGCAAACTGTATATTTCAATTGAGACCCCCACTGTTGTATTATATAGTTATAATCATCCTGGAGTAGATAGAATGGACGAATGTTCAAAAAAAAACAATTCACTCCTCATGACCGGCCCTTCCAAATCCCATAGATAGAATACAGTTGTAGGGGCTTCTCTTCCTTTTCCTTTGTTGTCCTTCTCCTTCTCTGTTCGTTCTATTTTCTGTTCGTTCTAAAGAAAAGAAAAAAGGAAAGGAAAGCTTAGATAGTACACATAGGAACAGAACATGAAAATAACAAAGGAGCAAATACCGGAATGGGAGGAGTTGATAAGAATCTTATCACTATGTTCTATCTATAGGGTCAGTCTTCATAAAATGAAAGGGATGTCAAAAACCCTGAGTTTTTTTCAAAAAGAAAAACACCCCCTACGAAAGTAGATTCTATCTACTTCAGGATGATTACAGTATATATATATATATTAGTCATTGTCATTGTCAATGTTCAGTCTTCTTTGATGTCCTTATCAGAGGTGTCTTACTTTAGTGAATGTGTGGCATTTTCAATCCACGACTGGACGAGTAGAGAGCTATTTGTTTTCAGTCTAATGGCTTGTGTGACAGGCTCGTGCAAACGTTCCCTCCAGAATCGGAGAAGTGCAGAATCCTTGGGTTCTCCCATCATATGAGTGGCTTTTAGGTGCTTGCTCATTTGTGCATGCCTACAGGTACTCTCATGGGCGCGCTCTTGGTTCGTTGCTCTCATAGAAATTTGTGGTCTCATGGCCGCGCGCTCCGATTTTTGCTATTTGAGCGTTCACCTATGGGCGTTCTCAAACGCGTTGTCATCTGGGTGATCCTACATGTGGCCTGTTTCGTTTCTGGGCTCATATTTTTGTGCTCTCATGTGTGCTGCCAAGCTATGTATTCGGTGTATGTTCTCCCGTGTGTGTGTGTGTAATATATATATATGTATATCCCACAGAATTGGGAACTTGTTGGCTTTAGTTTTGTTGCTGGGCTTTTAATTGCAGGAGGCACGCTGATGAGACCGGTGCTAACAAAGACACATCCGTCTCCTGTGATACAGTTGGAGACGTCCACCTGCGTACCTGCTTTGTTTGGAATTGAAATTGCCAATGAGCCTTGCTTGTGACTAGAACAATCCTTCCAGCTGTTGCATCTGCTTGCATCCTGCAGACGAGTGCTCGTTGATCGCTCTGTTTCGTTGGATCGTGTCGAACTTTGAAACTTGGGACTTTTGGAACTTTGACAGTTAGCTGGCCTTACTACTAGGAACAAGAAGCTACTAGCAGCTCCTGGCATCGCTACTAGGAGCAAGGACGCTACTAGGGGCTCCTGGCCTTGCTACTAGGAACAAGAAGCCACGAGGGGCTCCTGGCATCGCTACTAGGAGCAAGGACGCTACTAGGGGCTCCTGGCCTTTCTACTAGGAACAGGAAGCTACTAGGGGCCCCTGGCATCGCTACTAGG